TCCGCCCAACTGTTCAGCCTTTTCTCTGACCTGTAGTTAAATACGAGTTTATTTATAATTTAATTACTAAATAAAAATTATGTTTAAAACAAGCAATAAATTAATACCCATTTGAGAGCCATTAACTGGTCATAGAGTCCGACATTTCCGGGCGCATCCTCCCGATCCCCGTATAGGGAACCCAAATGTCCTAATCTATAGTTCGCGGCGACAAACGCTACGCCTGACTGGCCAGCGGTCCGCCATTAAACTTGTCAATAGATCCAGTGCTCAGACCTCTGCCGTGTATCCAAAACATAACGGGTTTGAGCTATGATTTGTTTGTGTTATTATTTCCCGCATTTGGTGTCCATATGTTTAATACTAAACAGTCTTCACTTTGAATATATGTGTTTGGCATACATAACGACCCACTTTGTGGTCAGGATTCGCCCGGTTTTGTCCCATCGATGATACCCTGATATATAAATACATGTTACTATTTGTGTTGACATGTATTTAAATAATTTTATTTAATTACTTAATTAATTTACACTTACATCTCGGGGGCGTTTAGTGGGCTCCGGTTTAGCAAACCTGAGGGCACCGATAGGGGGCTCGGCGTACGGTATGCCTAAAAACTGGTCGACACTCGCATCCAATACACGTACGGTCTGTCCTCTTACTAAACCAGACGTATTAAAAATAATTATTACAAACTTTTTTTAAATAAGTTAAATGACTTGTAACTTTGTTTGACACAATAGGGAATAACGTATAAACTAAATAAAATACCGACAACATTATTGCAGTTGTTATTATAAAATACGTGTATATTTTTTTTGCACTAAATGTTAACTTAATAAGTTTATTGAATTGTTAACACCCTATCTCATTATTATCGCATCACAATACAACTGTACAATATTACAGTTTGTTTATAACAGGCACTAAATTGTACTCAATTATTGCTTATAAACGATGAATTAAGTTATTTAGTTTATTTAGGGGATTGCATAGTAAAACATAATTCATTTTATTATCTACCTTTCATTCTCTCTCTCTCTCTCTCTCTCTCTCTCTCTCTCTCTGATCTGATAGGAATTTTATACACATTTAGAGTATATTTAAGTGAATTTATTCCGAGAAAAGTTTAAATCTATTTAAATATTTAATACTGACTGATATCTCATTCGTTCCCAATATCTCTATTCATTCAATGAAAAACTAATTTAATTGCTTTCAATACTATTGCCTTAAATTAAATACTAATTATTACTGTTTATTAAGCATTGCTTTTATAACAAAAGTAAATTTTTGAATAATAATCGCATGATATGACTGAATAGGAAGTGTAATGAAAAATAATTGAATCGAAAACAAATAATATAAGCAAATTAAATAACTATTAAATAACATACAAATCATTGATAAGTTTCTTAAGACAGCTCTTTGTGCACTATTTCCTACTTATATTGAAAAATAACATTTTAATTGAAAATACAACAAATCTATAAATAATTAATTATATTTAATGAAAAACCAATTAATTAAGTGGTTCACAAATACTATCATTGTATTTCAAGCAAAACAAAGTTTTAGTAATTTATTTGATCAAAAAGTATGCAAATCCTCATCTCATTACAGAAAAGAATTGGTAATAAACTAATCAGATTTACAAAAATTACATGTTATATCTCTCATACAGTATAATAATCGCACTCAATTTTATTCCTTATTTAAATTGAATTAAATTTCAGTTGAATTTATTTAACCCTTGAATTGTATTCCCTTTTATGTTATGTCCCAAACAATGTCCGTTTTATGTAAGTTATAATTAATTTTTAATCTAATAGTAAGCTGAAAACCCATAGAAACCTATGTTAAAGTGTCCCCATGTTAATCCTATGAGAATTTTCCCATGTTAACCCCATGTCATTGAATTAAACTGTATTTCCATAGAAACTTATGTTAAAGTGTCCCCATGTTAATCCTATGAGAATTTTCCCATGTTAACCTTATGTCATTGAATTAAACTGTATTCCCATAGAAACCCATGTTAAAGTGTCCCCATGTTAATCCTATGAGAATTTTCCAATGTTAACTCCATGTCATTGAATTAAGCTGAAAACCCATAGAAACTTATGTTAAAGTGTCCCCATGTTAATCCTATGAGAATTTTCCCATGTTAACCCTATGTCATTGAATTAAGCCGAAATCCCATAGAAACCCGTGTTAAAGTGTTTCCATGTTAATCTTATGAGAATTTTCCCATGTTAAACCCACGTGTTTCCCTATCGATGTTAATTATCAAATATCCAACACACGTGTTACCTATTCGATATACATACCACATGTTGAAACTCACGTGTCGTATATTTTGTGATTTATCATCCCATGTTAAACCCACGTGTTTCCCAATCGATG